GTTCAAAGATTCCTGAGTGGTAACCTTTCATTGGGCGATTAACATTATCCCCCGCCCCCAAACCCCACAATGAATTATAACTCTGTACTCTGCTCGTTGGCATTTATTATCCAATATATCAAGAAGAAAAATGAAAACAAGAGGTATTTTTCCTTCTCTTAACTTGTTATATAAATTAAGAGTATGATTAATGTATTTTTTAAAATATTTTTTACTTCATTATTTTTTAATTTATTTATGTACCTAAATAAAAGGAAAGGAAAAGAGGAAAATGGAAAGACACAACTCCCCCCGCTCTCATCTTCTCCTCTCCATTTTTCTTAATTAAAACATGGAGTTAAAGATTTTTTTAAAATTAATATACTTTTTAAAAATTAATTTGCATTGAAAAAATAAAACTTTACTCTCTTTTTTAATTAAAAAACTTCACCTTCAATCTTTCTAAGGGCTTAATTCCATCAATAATCCTTGAACTTTATAAAAGGAGTTATTATCATCCCTCTACCTAAAGAGTTCATGATAATCCTTCAACTTTGGAGAAAAATCAACCACTGGTACTTCCATTGATTGAAGTTAATTATAACTTATAACACCGTCAATCTTCCTATCAATGCTGTCCATCTCCGGTTAAATGCTGTGTTATGTCCAATGTGGCAATAATGGGTCCCAATAAACTACAATATCCTTATTTAACGAAATAAACTAAAAATAACAATAATATAATGTAATTATAAACAAGAAAAAATTCAGTAGCATTTGATAAAAGAGAAAGGAGAAGAGACAGATAAGGGAGAAAAAGAGAAGAAGAAGGAAGGAAAGAAAAAAATGAGTGGGTTATGAAGTTCTGATATTATATAAAACATCTTACCTATGTTTATCATGTCAAAATCCTATTTACCAAGGCACATAATACACATAGGCATAGCACTTGGTTCTTGCGGCCTAGTGGCAACAACCATTCGGTACATTCCCCCCTTCCTGAGCTGGGTTCGAAACCCGTCCCTTATAAATATGTTTAAAAAAATAATAATAATAATAATACACATAGGCATAAAATCAATTTCAATGGGAGGGAAAAAATGCAAAAATTTTTTAGTTCCCGCTTTCACTTTACTGACAAGATGTAGGCAAGTGAAAATGCAAAATTATGCCGAAAATAGCTCATA